GCTCACTAGTAACATTTGCAGGAGCCAAAGCCAGAGTAAAATTGGAGGTTCCTGTATCTTGTGTCTAAGAGTATGGATTGTGCTATGTCAGCAATGAGCGCTAGTTTCTGAGTGATAGAAGTCTCCATGTGTTGTTCAGTACATTTTCTCTGTAATATGTGTGCCCTAAACATGCAATCCAGCACAAGGTTAAAGATAGCCTAAAGTGCTAGGATGGCAACCAGATATAGAAAGACATAGTTATAGAAAATATATATACATATATATAAATGTAGAATTTAAAATATAAAACAGTGGTTACCTCTGGGACAGAGGAGACCACAATTATATAACATAAGGTTAAAAAAAAAGGAAAATTATTTGGATGGTGGTCAAAGAGACTTCAGCTGCATTTACAATGTTTTAAATTTAAGAAAACCCTATTTTCAGGTATAACTTGTCATTAAAATTAATTTTTAAAAAGAACTTTAAAAACCTGAAATCTTCATCTGAATAAGACTTAGACCATTAAAAGAGGTACCAAGCAAGCAGGATTCATCCAATACAGGATCCGATTTATCTTCAAGCAACTCTTAATTGAAAGTTGAGGGAATAGAGAAACTTACGTGGTGGAGGATATGTGAAGATTTACTAAGGTCCCAGGACACCCACTCTTGCAAGTGTCAATGGGCTCATTGTTCACATACATATTTTCCAGATGCCTGGAACATAAAGTCTTATGTCAGTATGAGGTAAGCTCTCTCCTTCATATCCAAGTACACCCAGCACTTCATCCTTTTATGACCAAGGGGACCTCACTTGGGAGATGATTGGATAACTTCATTCTTTTACACATTCACCATGCACACTGTGTTGACCTGAGACTCTGCCACATACACTGTCATCCAAACTCTAGGAAGGAACTAGAGAGTGTTGACCAAGTGGGTAAGGAGTCTGTATGTGCGTGTGTGCATGTGATGGATGTGGGAGTATGAGAAAGACCATGCTGTCCGACTTTTCTTATGTAGGAAGATCAGGCTGACAGGTTAATGCCGACAGAGGGCAGCCTCTTGAGAGGTTTTATCTTTTTATTCCCTTAGGTATGGCTTTCAATCGACGGCGGCAACACCTTTGAATTATTGGCTGATTTTCATGATGATATCATAAAGAATACTTACCATAGTTTTTATACTTCAGATATTACTTTTGTTTCCCAAAGTGGAAATGTTTACTTGACAAAGGCAGGTGAGAAATTCACTTTTATTGGTGTAAGAACTACATGTGAGCCAGGGATTAGAACATAGATGAAAAAAATCTGCCATATTAATCAACTAATCTTAAAGTCTCAAACCTATTAGAGGTGACAGGTTTTTAAAAATTATTTTCATTGTGGTAAGATACGCATAACATAAAGCTGACCATCCTACTCATTTTTAAGTATACAGTTTGGTGGTATTAAATACATTCAAAATTTCTGCAGTCATCAGCACCATCCATCTCCAGAACTCTTTCTATCTTGTAAAACTGAAACTCTATATCCCATAAAAAATAAATCCTCATGGGGCTCCTGGGTGGTACAGCCAGTTGGGTGACTGACTCTTGGTTTAGGCTCAGGTCATGATCTCAGGGTTGTGAGATCGAGCCCCCTGTCAGGCTCCATGCTCAGCACAGAGTCTGCTTAAGAGTCTCTTCTCCCTTTACCCCTCCACCCACCCCCGCACATGCTCTCACTTGCGCGTGCACACGCTCTCTCTCTCAAATAAATAAATAAATCTTTAAAAAATAAAATAATAAATCCTCATTTTCTGCCTTTCCACAGCCCCAGGAACCACCATTCTATTTTCTGTCTCTACAATTTTGACTACTCTAGGTACCTCATATAAGTGGAATCATATAGTATTTGTCTTTTTGTGACTGGGTTATTTCACTTAGCAGAATGTTCTCAAGGTATATCTATATTGTAGCATGTATCAGAATTTCCTTCATTTGTAAGGCTGAATAATATCCCATTGTATATACATGACATTTTGCTTATCTATTCATCCAACAAGGGACATTTGTGTCACTTCCATGTTTTAGCTATTTTGAATGGCACTGCTATGAACATAGGTGTACAAATATCCCTTTGAAACCCTGAGCTTTCAACTCTTTTGGGTATATACCCAGAAGTGGAATTGCTGCATGGTAATTCTGTTTTTAATTTTTTGGACCTTACAATTCTCTTTTCCACAGTAGCTGTACCATTTTACACTCCCACTGCCAGTGTAAGAGAGTTTTAATTTCTCTGCATCCTTGCCAACACTTGTTATTTTCAGTTTTGTTTTTGTTTTTCTTTTGATAGTGGTCATCCTAATGGATATGAAGTAGTGTCTCTTAGTTTTGATTTGCATTTTCCTAATGATTGAGCATCTTTTCTTGTGTTTATTGGCCATTTGTATATCTTCTTAGCAGAAATTTCTATTCGGGTCCTTTGCCAATTTATTAATCAGATTGCTTGTTTTTTTAATTGCTGAGTTAAAGAAGTTCTCTGTATATTCTGGATACTAATCCTTTATCAAACATTTGCAAATATTTTTTCTCCTTCTGTGGGTTGCCTTAAATCTCCTTGGTTAAGTTAATTCCTGTGTATTTTTTTGGATGATATTATAAATGGAATTGTTTTCCTAATTTCCTTTTCTGATTATTCATTGTTAGTGTAAGACTAACAATGTGTTTGTGTGTTGATTTTATATTATGCTACTTTGCTGAATTCATTTATTCTAATAATTTTTTTTTTTTGTAGAATCATTAGGGTTTCTACATATAGGATCATAGCACTCTGAAGAGAGATAATTTTATTTCTTCCTTTGTGATTTGGATGCCTTTTATTTTTTTCTTGCCTAATTGCTCTGGCTAAAACTTCCAATACTATATTGAGTAGAAGTGGTAAAAAGCAGGCATCCTTGCCTCATTCCTGATCTTAGAGGAAAAGTTTTCAGTCTTTTACCATTGAGTATAATGTTCACTGTGGATTTCTCATATATGGCTTTTATTATGTTGAGGTAATCTCCTTTTATTCCTAGTCTGTTAAGTATTTTTGTCATGAAAATATCAGAACACAGATCCCCAATATTTGGAGGACAGGGTCCTTCTTGCGCACCCTGGCTCCTGTAAACTGCCCCAGGAATGTGTGCACAGCCCTGCCGGGTGCCTTTGGTGGAAGATGGGTAGCTACTGCTAAGGGCTGAGATTAACCACAATTTACCATCCAAGTCTTCCTCTGGAAGTTGCAAGCCTTCACTAGACTCCAGAATTCTAAAATAATTATATCGGATAGATTCTGCCAGTGCAACTGTTATCCAGGTGAGCAGACAGATTCCTGGTACTTCCTGCTCTGCTGTCTTCCCAGTACCTCCAAGGTGTGGTGGAGCGTTAGGGTCTACAAAAGTAGGGTCCTGTGAACAGCCCTAAAGAACAGAACCCTGGGTCATCATGCTATGTTCTCATTTACAATTTCTGTGATGTTTGACTTTCCCAAAAGACAATAATAGCTCCTACTTACTGAGCTGCATTTGTGCTTAACATGTTACAAATACCATCTTGTTTAATATTCACAGCCCTGGCTGAAGTAGGTAATATTAGCCTACTTTTTAAAAAAAATTTTATTGTTATGTTAATCACCATACATTACATCGTTAGTTTTTGATGTAGTGTTCCATGATTCACTGTTTGTGCATAACACCCAGTGCTCCATGCAGAACGTGCCCTCTTTAATACCCATC